CCCTACAAGAGCTTCTGAAGGAAGCACTAAACATGAATAGGATCGACCGGTACCAGCCGCTGCAAAAACATGCAAAATGGTAAAAACCAGTAACGCTATGAAGAAACCACATCAATTAATGGGAAAAATAACCAACTAACATCATAATGACAGGATCAAATTCAATCATAACAATACTAACCTTAAATGTAAATGGGCTAAATGCCCCAAATAAAAAATTTAGACTGGCAAATTGGATAGAGTCAAGACCCATCAGTTTGCTGTATTCAGGAGACCCATCTCACGTGCAAAGATGCACATAGACTCAAAATAAAGGGATGGAGGAAGATCTACCAAGCGAATGGAAAACAAAACAAAACAAAAAAGCAAGGGTTGCAATCCTAGTCTCTGATAAAACAGACTTTAAACCAACAAAGACCAAAAGAGACAAAGAAGGCCATTACATAATGGTAAAGGGATAACTTTAACAAGAGCTAACTATCCTAAATATATATGCATCCAATACAGGAGCACCCAGATTCATAAAGCAAGTCCTCAGAGACCTACAAAGAGACTTAGACTCCCACACAATAATGATGGGAGATTTTAACACCCCACTGTCAATATTACACAGATCAATGAGACAGAAGGTTAACAAGGATATCCAGAACTTGAACTCAGCTCTGGACCAAGCAGACCTAATAGACATCTACAGAACCCTCCACCCCAAATCAACAGAATATACATTCTTCTCAGCACCACATCATACTTATTCTAAAACTGACCACATAATTGGTAGTAAAATACTACTCAGCAAATGTAAAAGAACAGAAATCACAACAAACTGTCTCTCAGACCACAGTGCAATCAAATTAGAACTCAGGATTAATAAACTCACTCAAAACAGCACAACTACATGGAAACTGAACAACCTGCTCCTGAATGACTACTGGGTAAATAACGAAATGAAGGCAGAAATAAAGATGTTCTTTGAAAACAATGAGAACAAAGACACGTTTCAGAATCTCTGGGACACTTTTAAAGCAGTAAGTAGAGGGAAATTTGTAGCACTAAATGACCACAAAAGAAAGCAGGAAGGAGCTAAAATGACATCCTAACATCACAATGAAAAGAACTAGAGAAACAAGAGCAAACAAATTCAAAAGCCAGCAGAAGGCAAGAAATAACTAAGATGAGAGTAGAACTGAAGAAGATAGAGACACAAAAAACCCTTCAAAAAAAAATCAGTGAATCCAGGAGCTGGTTTTTTGAAAAGATCAGCAAAATACATAGACCTCTAGCAAGATTAATAAAGAAGAAAAGAGAGAAGAATCAAATAGACACAATAAAAAATGATAAAGGTGATATCACCACTGATCTCACAGAAATACAAACTACCATCAGAGAATAGTATAAACACCTCTATGCAAATAAACTAGAAAATCTAGAAGAAATGGATAAATTCCTGGACACATACACCCTCCCAAGACTAAATCAAAAAGAAGTTGAATCTCTGAATAGACCAATAACAGGTTCTGAAATTGAGGCAATAATAGCCTACCAACCAAAAAAAGTTCAGAACCAGACAGATTCACAGCTGAATTCTACCACAGGTACAAAAAGGAGATGGTACCATTCCTTCTGAAACTATTCCAATCAATAGAAAAAGAGGGAATCCTCCCTAACTCATTTTATGAGGCCAGGATCATCCTGATACCAAAGCCTGGTAGAGACACAACAAAAAAAGAGAATTTTAGGGCAATATCCCTGATAAACATCGATGTGAAAGTCCTCAATAAAATACTGAATCCAGCAGCACATCAAAAATCTCTTCCGCCACAATCAAGTCGGCTTCATCCCTGGGATGCAAGGCTGGTTCAACATATGCAAATCAATAAATGTAATCCACCACATAAACAGAACCAATGACAAAAAACCACATGATTATCTCAATAGATGCAGAAAAGGCCTTTGACAAAATTCAACAGTCCTTCATGCTAAAAACTCTCAATAAACTAGGTACTGATGGAACGTATCTCAAAATAATAAAGCGCTTTTTTGACAAACCCACAGCCTGAATGGGCAAAAAATTGGAAGCATTCCCTTTGAAAGCCAGCACAAGACAAGGATGCCCTCTCTCACCACTCCTGTTCAACAAAGTGTTGGAGTTCCGGCTAGGGCAATCACGCAAGAGAAAGCAATAAAGGTATTTGATTAAGAAAAGAGGAAGTCAAATTGTCTCTGTTTGCAGATGACATGATTGCATATTTAGAAAACCCCATTGTCTCAGACCAAAATCTCTTTAAGCTGATAAGCAACTTCAGCAAAGTCTCAGAATACAAAATCAATGTGCAAAAATTACAAGTGTTCCTATACACCAATAATAGACAAACAGAGAGCCAAATCATGAGTGAACTCCCATTCACAATTACTACAAAGAGAATAAAATAGCTAGGAATCCAATATACCAGAGATGTGAAGGACCTCTTCAAGGAGAACTACAAACCACTGCTCAACGAAATAAAAGAAGACACAAACAAATGGAAGAACATTCCATGCTCATGGATAGGAAGAATCAGTATCGTGAAAATGGCCATACTGCCCAAAGTAATTTACAGATTCAATGCTATCCCCATCAAGCTACCACTGACTTTCTTCACAGAGTTAGAAAAAACTACTTTAAAGTTCATATGGAACCAAAAAAGAGCCCGTACAGCCAAGACAATCCTAAGCAAAAAGAACAAAGCTGGAGGCATCATGCTACCTGACTTCAAACTACACTACAAGGCTACAGTAACCAAAACAGTATGGTACTGGTACCGAAACAGATACACAGACCAATGGAACAGAACAGAGGCCTCTGAAATAACACTACACATCTACAACCATCTGATCTTTGACAAACCTGACAAAAACAAGCAATGGGGAAAGGATTCCCTATTTAATAAACGGTGCTGGGAAAACTGGCTAGCCATATGTAGAAAGCTGAAACTGGATGCCTTCCTTACACCTTATGCAAAAATTAACTCGAGATGGATTAAAGACTTAAATGTAAGACCTAACACCATAAAAACCCTAAAAGAAAACCTAGCTAATACCATTCAGAACATAGGCATGGGCAAAGACTTCATGACTAAAACACCAAAAGCAATGGCAACAAAAGCCAAAATAGACAAATGGTATCTAATTAAACTAAAGAGCTTCTGCACAGCAAAAGAAACTATCATCAGAGTGAACAGGCAACGTACAAAATGGGAGAAAATTTGTGCAATCTATCCATCTGACAAAGGGCTAATATCCAGAATCTACAAGGAACTTAAATTTATAAGAAAAAAACAAACAGCCCCCATCAAAAAGTGGGCAAAGGATATGAATAGACACTTCTCAAAAGAAGACATTTATGCAGCCAACAGACATAAAAAAATGCTCATCATCACTGGTCATTGGCGAAACACAAATGAAAACCACAATGAGATACCATCTCATGCCAGTTAGAATGGCAATCATTAAAAAGTCACGAAACAACAGGTGCTGGAGAGGATGTGGAGAAATAGGAATGCTTTTACACTGTTGGTGGGAGTGTAAATTAGTTCAACCATTGTGGAAGACAGTGTGGCGATTCCTCAAGGATCCAGAACTAGAAATACCATTTGACCCAGCGATCCCAATACTGGGCATATACCCAAAGGATTATAAATCATTCTACGATAAAGACACATGCACATGTGTTTCTTGTGGCACTATTCACAATAGCAAAGACTTGGAACCAACCCAAATGTCCATCAATGATAGACTGGATTAAGAAAATGTGGCACATACACACAATGAAATACTATGCAGCCATAAAAAAGGATGAGTTCATGTCCTTTGCAGGGACATGGATGAAGCTGGAAACCATCATTCTAAGCAAACTATCACAAGAACATAAAACCAAACACCGCATGTTCTTACTCATAGGTAGGACAGAACACATGGACACAGGGTGGGGAACATCACACACCAGGGCCAGTCGGGACATGGGGGCCTGGGGGAGGGATAGCATTAGGAGAAATACCTAACGTAAATGATGAGTTCATGGGTACAGCAAACAAACATGGCACATGTATACCTATGTAACAAACCTGCACGTTGTGCACATGTAACTTAGAACTTATATAATTGAAAAAAAAAATCACCTTACATACATGCTCAATCCCTTGCCCCCCTTTTGCTCTCTATAAGAGGGGTGAGGTTCTCAAAACCTCACCCTAATTAAACCAAATGTTACTCCTATGCTGTATCTGCACTCATGTAGCTGAACATGGCTGAAGAAAACTACACGGCCACATGGACTGCTCTTTTGAAATTCATAAACACCAACTTAAAATACACTTTTTAATATTTCAGATTATTTCTCTAATACAGAATCTGAGTACATTTTAAAATACTATTGATGCATACAGCCAAATTGCTTTTAAAATAAAATTTACTTATATATGGAGCTATTTTGAAAATATTTATCATGGGGCATGGAACTTCCACTCTAGGAATTTTAAGGAAATAATTTTAGAAGTATACAAAAATTTAGTTACTCGGTTACTTATAATAGACTTAACAGTTAAAAAAAAGTTGGAGTTGTCCTACAATAATGAAAAATTAGTAACAATCCAAATGTTGAACTATATGGCATAGGTGAAATACATTATGCTAAGTCCATACCATAGGACGCTATTAAGCCAATGGAAAAATATTCATAATATACTGTTGAAGAGGAAAAACGTAGATTATAAGAATACATATATAATCTTTGAAAATTTTATATATATGTATTATTATAAATAAGTATATAAGAAAAAAGCCTGGAGGATATCAATATTTATCTTTGGATAATAAAATTATTGCTGTTTTATTTTCCATCTTTTATGTGTTCTACAAAAAATACATATTTCTTTATTAATGAATGTATCAATTTACATGTGCAGTACTGAGAATATAGTGGGATAACATTTGAGATTATAGCAGATTAAATTAGCTGTACTTACTATTATTTCTGATGCAAAATACCTGAAAGGATCATTTCCACCTTCTTCAGACTGTTCAAGGAATTGTGCTGTCAGCAAAGGGCATTTCAAGCTTTTGAAACAACTAAGGCATAAGAAATAGGTAACTATGAAATCAACACTTCCAAGTATAAAATCCCTAGTTCTTCAAATCTAAGTTAATTTTACTTGAAAAATAACATAAGCACTGCTATGGTTTGAATGACTCTCCTCTCCAAAACTCATGTTGAAATTTAACTGCCATAAAGAGGTGGGAATTAGGCCAAGGGGGCTCCACTCTCATGCATGAGATTAATGCTCTTGTAAAAGGGCAAGTTCAGCCCACTTTTGCCGTTTGCCCTTTTACCTTCAGCCACATTATGACACAGCTAGAAGGCCCTTGCCAGATGCCAGCGCCTTAACTGTAGACTTCCCAGCCTCCAGAACTGTGAACCAATGAATTTCGTTCATTATAAATCACCCAGTCTTAGGTAGTCTGTTATATCAGCACAAGTGGATTAAGACAAGCATCAATAACTTAATGTTCTATAAAACTGTTGATGTAACGTCGTTCGTACTAGTAATAGGGAGAACATGAGAACACCTTGGGAGACTCAACATGCTAAGACTGACTTCTACATCTGAACTATTCCATTGAATTCTGAATGTTTGAGGGCCAGTGCTAGTCTACGATGTTGTTTTCATTAGTTCAAAGAAAAACTCAGGAAATAGTCATTTTTTCACACAGCTCTATTTGTTTTATTTAGAAAATGAAACTTTATTCTGTGATTAAGCCTTTCCTATTTCTTTAGTTAAAATACCTTTTCTTTTATGAGATAATGGATTTTATAAATGGTAAAAAACTTTTTTTTGAGACAGGGTCTCTGTCACCCAGGCTGGAATGCAGTGGCACAATAATAGCACACTGTAACCTCAAACTCCTGGGCCCAAAGGATCCTCCTGCTGCAGCCTGCCAAGTAGCTTGGACTACAGGCACACAACACTGTGCCCAGCTAACTTTTTTATTTTTTGTAGAGACAGGGTCTCACTATGTTGCCCAGGCTGGTCTCAAACTCCTGACCTCAAGCAATCTCCCACCTTGGCCTCCCAAAGTGTTAGGATTACAGGTGTGAGCCACCACATCTGGCTGTTAATTTTTTTTAAATGTCCTGACAAGTAGGAAGCTAAAAATAGTATGTCTACAAAATTAAAATATTATTTTATATTCTATTTTTTAGAGATGAGGTCTTGCTGTGTTGCCTAAGTTGGTCTTGAACTCCTGGCCTCAAGTGATCCTCCTGCCTCAGCCTCCAAGTAGCCAAAATATAAAAATTACTGGTCCATGTAATTAAATAATCTAGTCTATCACTGTCCAATAGAAATATAACATAGCCCTACATATAAGATCTTTTAGTAGACATATGAAAAAAGTAGTAAGAATGGGAGAGATGATTTTAATAATTTATCTTAACCCAATATATCTGAAATATTGTCATTTCAACATGTTATCAATATAAAAATTATTGAGGTATTTTACTGTTTTTTTTTTTTAAATAACAAGTCTTCAAAATCCAGGGGATATTTTATACTTAAAGTACATCTGAATTTCGACCAGCCATATGTCACATGCTACAGCCATATTGAACAGTACATGTTTAGTCTATAGCACCCATGGAGGGAATGCTGTTGGGTGGATACTCTACTACTATTTTTGTAGTCAAGTTGGATGTTCTGTCTGGTGGTCCTTCTGCTGCTTTCTTTGAAAGAGTAAAACACAATTTCTCCACAGAGCTACATATATCTATTTCCCACACTCACCCTGAGCTACATGTATCTATTTCCCCCACTTTCATTATTCACTTACTATGATGAATAAAGGCAATACAAAGAAGAATATAAAGTAAATGAATGGATTTTGGTTTTATAATTATTTTATTAATTAGTTTTGTAAAGACAGGGTCTTGCTCTGTTGCCCAGGCTAGAGTACAGTGGCCGATCATCATTCACTGTAGCCTCACACTCCTGGATTCAACCCATCCTCTAGCCTCAGCCTCCCAAGTAGTAGCACTACAGGTATATGCCACTACATCCAGCTAATTTTTAAATTTTTTTTTGTAGAGATGGGGGTCTCGCTATGTTGCCAAGGCTGGTCTCAAACTCCTGGCCCCAAACAATCCTCTCATGTCAGTCTCCCAAAGTGATGGGATTACATGTGTGAGCCACTACACCCGGCCTATAATTTTTTTAAATATAAATGTCTCAAGTCCCCATGCTATATCAGTTGAACCCTACATTCTTCTGAAATTCAAAACGTGAAACTAGATTTCTATTTACATGTCAAACAAGGTGAAGAAACATAAAATAACTGAACTATCAATTACTTAAGTCCATTGTGAGATGTTCTTAAAATTATACTTACAATTTCAGTAATTCATCCTTTAACTTTTCATTTTCCAGTGAGTTTTCTTTGTTATCAATGACTTCTTCCACAAAAGGCTTAGTGAACTCTATTAAGGCCTTGCAACACTGACAAAGGCCATAGTCATCCATTTGTATTTGTTCTTTTGTGTATGGAACAGGAAGAAGAGATAGCTGATTCCAAAGGGTAGACAATGCTAATCCAATTGAATATGCCTTGTTATGAAGTTTCTGAATCACTAGAACAAAGATCAAGTTGTCGCTCATCAAGTATGCTAAACATGGGACAAGAAATTTGGCAAATGTGGAATTACAAGATACCTCCTCCTTCCATATTTTAACAGCTCTTGAAATCAAGATGACACATCACAGTCTAACTGGCAGTGTTTTTTTCTTCTTAGTTGTGCATAAAATAACACAGCATCTTGCCATGAAATGCTGTTTAGGTTATGTTTATAACCAACTATGTGTAACAGGCTATGTACTTAAGACAGAAACATGTTCTTTCCATGTTTTTTGTGTTATAAGCACAAAATATGAGAGTGTATTGTAAACTGCAAAGCACTATACAAATAGGAGGTGGTATTATTAGATTTTTTTCCCCTAGAAGACAGAATATTATAGGTGGTATGAAGCTGGTAGGCATTCATATTTAAAACAAATATAATTTCTGATTCCAGATCCCTCTATCAGACTGTGAGATAAATGAATTTCCTAAAATGAAAAATAACCTCTTCCCATGGATACTGTCTGCCTCGGTTGCCAAGACCCATTACCTACCAATATTGTTACTGCACTCAGCCATGGAGCCTTATCATGCCATATCTCCTCGTTTCATTCTTCAGTAGTACCTTTGCTATGCCCAATCCACCTCCCAAAGCAGAGGCTGAGCAACGCCCTGCCTGATACTCTTCTGGACTACTATAATGCTATCAGATTTAGTACTGCAGACACCACAGAGGTAATCCTTGAAATATGTTTCGGGAGAAAATTCTAGATTTAAGCAGCAGATAGGAAGGTTAGGCAAAAAGGTATAGGTTTCAATACAGCACATGAAAAATAGTATGACATTCAACAGAATATTTACTGGGTACCCACTCTGGCCAGATACTATAATCTTTCCATGAGCAGCAGAATTCACATTGGCATTGCTATTATTCGTTTAAGCAGAGTACTCACTAATTAGCTGTAAACTTTGGTGTAGTATTGACATTTTGGGGTAACCATCAAGGCACTTAAAGATACAAGAAGTACTCTGATATCAAAATTCTCATTACCTGTTTGTAATGGCTGAAGCAAAAGAAGAATACTTTGGGATATCTGTTTTCCAGAGGGCTCTTCAATCAGTTCAAGCAAACCCAACAATAATTCCTTTGGATTGCATAACTATAAAAATATTCACAATTGAACCTGTTTAATACAAGTTGTATTTAAAGCCACATTATTACTATTTTTAAGAAGACATATATTGACAAAAAATATTATACAATTATGTTTTTGCTTAACATTAAAATTATTTATACAATTGTTAAAAAAATATGCACTAGCAAAACACAGAATCTGTGATGGTCAAGTAACTATAAAACTAAAAAGCAGCAAGAAGTCAATGGATCTTTAAGCTCAGGTTTCCTTTGTGCTTCACCTGTCTACTCTGAAATTGCCTTAATAAATTCCCAGGGGCTCCAGCAGGTGGGACCTTTCAATGCCACGCTGCAAGCCTATTTAGGCTAGTCCGGAATCGCTTCTGTATTTTTTAAACAGGTGAAACTTTGCATTGCTTTCTGACTGGCAATATTTTATCATCTCACTTGACTGTTTTTTTTTTAAAAGCTCCCAGCTCCCTTAGTCAATAACTCATACAGACGGAGCTCTCCTTCCAAATATATATTTGGGTATATTTACACTGATCACTAAGCAGTTTCTTATAACATCCTTTTTCTCAGAATTTTTCTTTCTTAGCCATCAAATATTGCCTTTAAACTCTACTAGCCTTTTACCAATGGTCTCTTTCTAAGGTTGTTAGTCACAACTGATCTGTGTTCTACCCCATTCCTACTTTCATTTTAATCACTTGTATTCTAGGCTTTCGATTCTCTTTTAAGGAACGTACCACAAAGAAAGAGGACTGAGATTTTAATTCTAGTTCTAATGTTGCCAAAAGATAAATGTGACCTTGAACTACCTCTCTAAACCTTGTATTCCACATCTATACAAAAAGTTACTTGTTAAAATATAGCTTCCTAGGTCTCTCCCTGGAGATGCTGAATCAATGGGTCTGATATGAAGTTAATGAGGTTAGAAAATTCTTTTATCCAGAGAATTTGGGAAATCCTGAAATGGAACTGCCTATCCAATCAATAAGACTGGGTCTTTTCTCCAACAAGTTCCTTTCTGCATGTACTTTCATGAACTGAAAGCTTTCTTACCAAACAATAAACATTAAAGGGAATTATAAAATACTGCTGTGTATTATGACAAAGAGAACCTTGTTAACTTACCTTTACTAATAAATCAAAGATCAAAAAGCAAACTTTTCTTTTAGCATCCTCTTTATCTTTACACAAAAGGCATCGAACAACAGGACCAATGAGATTCCAGCCCATATTCTTGATGATGACCTGTAAAGACATTTTCAGAGTAAAGCAAACACTGCCACCTATAGGACTCTCGCAGTGTGCTTTCCTATCTTGGAAGAGCTCAGAATTGTCTCTGAAACAGGAAGATGGGAGAAGTGAGGCCTATGACATTTCACCACAGACTTTCCAGCGTGGGCTGCTGACAGATATCAACATTTTTAAATAGATAGTTTTTAATATGTTCACTGAGGAAAGGCAAAAGGGTCTTTACTTTTTATCAGGCAAGCTGATGTTTCCCAAGATTTAAATAGTGCCTCTATTTCCAAAAAGAGTTAATTTGCTGAATACAGGTACTTCCACAGAGAATTTTTCTCCCCTTATTCATAAAGAAATCCAGCCAATGCTCCTGTACCTTTTAAAGTTCCTTGGAGTCTCTAATCATTGTAATTTATATAAAAAGAAGGAATACGACTTCATTAACTATCTCTCCTACATACAAGTGGCTTCTATGTTCAAAGATATTTCAGAATGCTTACCACACAAGTGAAAGTTTATCTTTATAATTACTAATTCACATTCATTATCAAAACCACTGATTTTCAAAAGTATCAACTGTCAGGCCTCTCAGCCAAAGCTAAGCCATCATATCCCCTGTGACCTGCACGTACACATCCAGATGGCCGGTTCCTGCCTTAACCGATGACATTCCACCACAAAAGAAGTGAAAATGGCCAGTCCTTGCCTTAGGCGATGATATTATCTTGTGAAATTCCTTTTCCTGGCACATCCTGCCTCAAAAGCTCCCCCACTGAGCACCTTGTGACCCCCACCCCTGCCTGCCAGAGCACCCCCTTTGACTGTAATTTTTTCTTCTACCTACCCAAATCCTATAAAACGGCCCCACCCCTATCTCCCTTCGCTGACTCTTTTCGGACTCAGCCCGCCTGCACCCAGGTGATTAAAAAGCTTTATTGCTCACACAAAGCCTGTTTGGTGGTCTCTTCACACGGATGCCAGTGACATTTTGGTGCCATGACTCGGATTGGGGGACCTCCTTCGGGAGATCAATCCCCTGTCCTCTTGCTCTTTGCTCTGTGAGAAAGATCCACCTACAACCTCAGGTCCTCAGACAGACCAGCCCAAGGAACAGCTCACCAATTTTAAATCTGGTAAGCGGCCTCTTTTCACTCTCTTCTCCAATCTCTCTCACTATCTCTCAACCTCTTTCTCCTTTCAATCTTGGCGCCACACTTCAATCTTTCCCTTCTCTTAATTTCAGTTCCTTTCCATTTCTGGTAGAGACAGAGGAGACGCGTTTTATCTGTGGATCCAAAACTCCGGCACTGGTCACGGACTCGGGAAGACAGTCTTCCCTTGGTGTTTACTCACCCGGGGATGGCTGCCTGATTATTCACCCACATTTCAGAGATGTCTGACCACACGGGACGCCTGCCTTGGTCCTTCACCCTTAGCAGCAACTACTGCTTTTCGGGGGGGCAAGAACCCCCCGACCCCTTCTCTCCGTGTCTCTACCCCTTCTCCGCTTTTCTGGGGGGCAAGAACCCTCCGACCCCTTCTCTCCGTGTCTCTACTCCTCCACTTTTCTGGGGGGCAAGCGCCCCCCACTCCTTCTCTCCATGTCTCTACTCTCTTTTCTCTGGGCTTGCCTCTTTCACTATGGGCAACCTTCCACCCTCCATTCCTCCTTCTCCCTTAGCCTGTGTTCTCAAGAACTTAAAACCTCTTCAACTCACACCTGACCTAAACCTAAACACCTTATTTTCTTCTACAATGCCACCCGACCCCAATACAAACTCGACAGTGGTTCCCAATAGCCAGAAAACGGCACTTTCGATTTTTCCATCCTACAAGATCTATATAATTCTTGTCGTAAAATGGGCAAACAGTCTGAGGTGCCTGACGTCCAGGCATTCTTTTACACATCGGTCCCTCCCTAGTCTCTGTTCCCAATGCAACTCGTCCCAAATCTTCCATCTTTCCCTCCCGCCTCTTCCCTCAGTCCCAACCCCAAGCATCGCTGAGTCTTTTTAATCTTCCTTTTCTACAGACCCATCTGACTTCTCCCCTCCTCACCAGGCCGAGCTAGGTCCCAAATTTTCCTCAGCCTCCACTCCCCACCTTATAATCCTTTTATCACCTCCCCTCCTCACACCCGGTCTGGCTTAGTTTTGTTCCACGACTAGCCCTCCTCACCTGCCCAGCTATTTCCTCTTAAAAAGGTGACTGGAGCTAAAGACATAGTCAAGGTTAATGTTCCTTTTTCTTTATCCAACCTCTCCCAAATCAGTTAGCGTTTAGGCTCTTTTTCATCAAATATGAAAAACCCAGCCCAGTTCATGGCTTGTTTGGCAGCAACCCTGAGATGCTTTACAGCCCTAGACCCTAAAATGTCAAAAGGCCGTCTTATTCTCAATATACATTTTATTATCCAATCCGCTCCCGACATTAAATAAAACTCCAAAAATTAGATTCTGGCCCTCAAACCCCAAAACAGGACTTAATTCGCCTTCAAGGTGTATAATAATAAAGGCAGCCAAGTAGCAACGTATTTCTGAGTTGCAATTCCTTGCCTCCACTGTGAGACAAACCCCAGCCACATCTCCAGCACACAAGAACTTCCAAATGCCTGAATTGCAGCAGCCAGTCATTCCTCCAGGACCGCCTCCCCCAGAAGCTTGCTACAAGTGCTGGAAATCTGGCCACTGGGCCAAGCAATGTCCGCAGCCCAGGATTCCTAAGCCGTGTCCCATCTATGGGAACCCACAGAAAATTGGAGTGTTCGACTCGCCTGGGAGCCACTGCCAGAGCCCCTAGAACTCTGGCCCAAGGCTCTCTGACTCCTTCCCAGATCTTCTTGGCTTAGCGGCTAAAGACTGACGCTGCCCAATCACCTCGGAAGCCTCCTGGACCATCACAGACGCTTTAGGTAACTCTCACAGTGGAGGGTAAGTCCGTCCCCTTCTTAATCAATATGAAGGCTACCCACTCCACATTACCTTCTTTTCAAAGGCCTGTTTCCTTTGCCTCCATAACTGTTGTGGGTATTGACGGCCAGGTTTCTAAACCTCTTAAAACTCCCCAACTCTGGTGCCAACTTAGACAACATTCTTTTATGCACTCCTTTTTAGTTATCCCCACCTGCCCAGCTCCCTTATTAGGTCGAGACATTTTAACTAAATTATCTGCTTCCCTGACTGTTCCTGGACTACAGCCACACCTCAGCGACGCTGTTTTCCCCAGTCCAAAGCCTCCTTTGCATCCTCCTCTCGTATCCCCCCACCTTAACCCACAAGTATAGGATGCCTCTACTCCCTCCTTGGCGACTGATCATGCACCCCTCATCATCTCATTAAAACCTAATCACCCTTACCCCGCTCAATGCCAATATCCCATCCCACAGTACGCTTTAAAAGAATTAAAGCCTGTTATCACTGAACTGTTAGAGCATGGCCTTTTAAAGCCTATAAACTCTTCTTACAATTCCCCCATTTTACCTGTCCTAGACCCAGATAAGACTTACAGGTTAGTTCAGGATCCGCACCTTATCAACCAAATTGTCTTGCCTGTCCACCCCATAGTGCAAAACCCATATACTCTCCTATCCTCAATACCTCCCTCCACAACCCAGTATTCTGTTCTGGATCTCAAACATGCTTTCTTTATATTCCTTTGTACCCTTCATCCCAGCCTCTCTTCACTTTCACCTGGACTGACCCTGACACCCATCAGGCTCAGCAAATTACCTGGGCTGTACTGCTGCAAGGCTTCACAGACAGCCCCCATTACTTCAGTCAAGCCTAAATTTCTTCCTCATCTGTTACCTATCTCGGCATAATGCTCATAAAAACACACGTGCTCTCTCCGCTGATCATGTCTGGCTAATCTCCCAAACCCCAATCCCTTCTACAAAACAACTCCTTTCCTTCCCAGGCATGGTTAGTGTGCTCAGAATTCTTACACAAGAGCCAGGACTGTGTCCTGTAGCCTTTCTGTCCAAACAACTTGACCTTACTGTTTTAGCCTAGGTCTCATGTCTGCGTGCAGTGGCTGCCACTGCTTTAATACTTTTAGAGGCCCTAAAAATCACAAACTGTGCTCAACTCACTCTCTACAGTTCTCATAACTTCCAAAATCTATTTTCTTCCTCCCACTTGACACACATACTTTCTGCTCCCTGGCTCCTTCAGCTATACTCACTCTTTGTTGAGTCTCCCACAATTACGATTGTTTCTGGCCTGGACTTCAATCCGGCCTCCCACATTATTCCTGATACCACACCTGACCCCCATGACTGTATCTCTCTGATCCATCTGACATTTACCCCATTTCCCCATATTCTTTCCTGTTCCTCACCCTTAATATACTTGGTTTATTGATGGCAGTTCCACCAGGCCTAATCGCCACTCACCAGCAAAGGCAGGCTATGCTATAGTATCTTCCACATCTATCATTGAGGCTACCACTCTGCCTCCCTCCACTACCTCTCAGCAAGCCGAACTAGTTGCCTTAACTCAGGCCCTCACTCTTGCAAAAGGACTACGTGTCAATATTTATACTGACTCTAAATATGCCTTCCATATCCTGCACCACCATGCTGTTATACGGGCTGAAAGAGGTTTCCTCACTGAGTAAGGGTCCTCCATCATTAATGCCTCTTTAATGAAAACGCTTCTCAAAGCCACTTTACTTCCAAAGGAAGCTGGAGTCATTCACTGCAAGGGCCATCAAAAGGCATCAGATCCCATTGCTCAAGACAATGCTTATGTTGATAAGTTAGCTAAAAAAGCAGTTAGTGTTCCAACTTCTGTCCCTCACGGTCAGTTTTTCTCCTTCACATTGGTCACTCCCACCTACTCCCCCGCTGAAACTTCCACCTATCAATCTCTTCCCACACAAGGCAAATGGTTCTTAGACCAAGGAAAATATCTCCTTCCAGCCTGACAGGCCCATTCTATTCTGTCATCATTTCCTAACCTCTTCCATGTAGGTTACAAGCCGCTAGCCTGCCTCTTAGAACCTCT